CCCCCAAGAGCGACTCTCTATAGTTTGGGCCCACGGAGTAGCTGAGGTGCCATGGAGACAGGCGAGCCTTGGGCGCGCAGCGCCTCCTTGTGGCTGCTCCCCGAAGCGTCGGGCCCGGGCTCGCTCGCTCCTCCGCCAGCTGCGGCGGCCTCGCTCCAGGCGGCGTCGGGGCGGAGACCCTCCCGCCCTTCAAATGGAGCCCTCGCCTGCCCCGAAGAGCTGGGGGGGGGGGCGGGGGTAGCTGCCGCTCTTTCTCCGGACTGGCCTGACCGGGGAGGTCGAAGGGCCGCCGCCAACCGTGGAGCGCCTGAGAGGGAAGCCGAAGCCGCGGAGGGCGCCCGTCGCTTCTTCAGCCAACCAAGCGGCGGGTGTCTGTAGGTGTGGGCCCGGAGGTTGCCGCGCCTTGCCCGGGTCCTTCTCGCTCGGGGCCACCTTGGCGTTTGCGGCCTTCAGCTCGCCGGTCCCGTCGCTGCTCCTCTTGCAAGCAGCCGGCAGGTGGCGCCAGAGTCCAGCTCTGATGGCCGCTGGAGGGCGCGCCTGGGGCCCAGGGCGGGGCTGTCAGGCGGTTTTCCCGCGAGACCAGGGATGGCCGCTCCCACCGCCGGGCTGCGCTCGGGGCGGGGGGGCCTCTTTCTTGCCCGGAGATCCGCTGCTTTGGAGGTGCCTGGAGAACGTGCCTTGCTTCGCCCAATTCAGGGCCAGACTTTGAGTCTTGTTCTTGCTTGTCCTTCGGCATGTTGTGGAAACGCGAGAAAAAGGGTCTCCGCGTTTTCCAAGAGCCATTCCGGCCTTTAGAAGGAACCCGGTGGAGGCCTCGGCATTTCCTGGCTTTCCCCCCCTGCCTGTGCACCGCACACACCCGCCCCGTCCCTTCTCCTGCGTCTTTCGGCCTCTCATTGGCCAAGCAGGGAGACCTTCCCCGGGTTGCTTCCTCCGCCCTGGGAGAGCGCGCGCGCGCGCGTAATGAGGCAGGCCGGATGCTCCTGGCTGCAGAGATGGGCGGCGCTGGGGGCTCCAGGGGGGCTGGCTGGCCTACCTCGCAGGGCAGAGCTGCAGCTGGCGTCTTGCCCTTGCCCAGGACCTTCCCAGAGAGGCTCAAATCCTCGGCATGGACGGAGGGGGAGGAATTAGCTCACCATCCACAAGGCTGTCTCCTGGGGGTGGGGAAGAGGGTTGCCACTGAGACAGCCAGGAAATCCTCTTTGATGGTTCAGCTCCTGCCGGTTAAGATGTTCTCCTTTTAAGTGGGGGCTTTTTCCCCTTAATAGGGTGCCACAAGGTTCCCTCTCAGGCCCAGGACTCTTCCTATATCTTCATTAATGACTTAGATGAGGGAATAGAAGGGGAACTTACCAAATTTGCAGATGATACTAAACTGGCAGGAATAGCTAACACCCAAGAAGATAGGCTCAAGATCCAGAGGGATCTTGACAGACTAGAACCCTGGGTTGTATCTAACAAAATGAAATTCAATATGGAGAAAAGTAAAGTCCTGCACATAGGCAAGAAAAACCAAAAGTACACATATAGACTGGGAGAAACCAGGCTCGATAGCAGGAACTGTGAGGGGGATCTTGGAATCTGAGTGGACAATCAGCTAAATAGGAGCCAGCCGTGTGCAGCAGCAGCCAAAAAAGCCAATGCAATCCTAAGTTGTATTAACAGAGGGATACAATCAAGATCAAGGGAGGGACTAATACCACTCTATAAAGCCTTAGTAAGACCACACCTAGAGTACTGCATCCAGTTTGGATCACCACATTATAAAAAAGATGTTGAGACTCTAGAAAAAGCACAGAGAAGAGCAACCAGGATGATTGGGGACTGGAGGCTAAAACATACAACAAACGGTTGCAGGAACTGGGCATCATGGCTAGTCTGGTGAAGAGAAGGACCAGGGGAGACATGATAGCGGTCTTCTAATATTTGAGAGCTGCCACAGGGAGGAAGGGGTCAATATTTTCTAAAGCGCCTGTAGGCCAGACAAGGAATAATGGATGGAAACTAAACAAGGAGAGATTCAACCTGGAAATAAGGAGAAATTTTCTGACAGGGAGAACAATCAACCCATGGAACAGAAGTTGCCCTCGGAAGTTGTGGGAGCGCCATCACTTGAGACTTTCAAGAAGAGATTGGACTACCATTTGTCAGAAATGATGTAGGGTCTCCCGCTTGGGTGAGGGGTTGGACTAGATGACCTACAAGGTCCCTTCCAACACTGATTATCTGTTATGGAAACCACGGTTTAAGAGCTATTTTTTCCCATGGGTAAAAGTCCTTAAAAGAAGCCATTTCTGAATTTTACCTGAAATATATAGTAAAGATTTGAAATACTTGATCGTAAATGTATTAACAGCGGCTAGGATTGTATTTGCTAAAAACTGGAAAAATGAGAAAATACCACCACAGGAGGAAATTATTAAGAAAATATTGGAATGTGCTGAAATGAGCAGATTGACATTTGAAATTAGAGAACAGGATGATAAACAATTTTATAAAGTTTGGGATCTATTCTATCAATGGTTGGACAATAAAGTATAGTAACAAAATATGTAGACTTGTAGAAAATACTAAATATATAAAGATGTACTCTTTTTTAATTATATCTACAAAATGATTTTAGATAGATTTGGGATGATAATATGAATTGTCACAAAACAAATTAAGTAAAATATGATTATTTTCTAAAGCATGAATGAATAAAAGTATAGTCAAATGATTGATTAATAATGATACCAATGTATTTAATATTGGATTGAAAATATGAGATCATATACAATGTAATTGTAATTGAAGACTACGAAATGGAAGCACAAAACAATTTGTAAACCAACCGGCACACTGGATGTACATATATGGAAGATGGCCTGATGTTTTTATGTTTTGTTTGTTTATGTTTGTTTTAAAAACCAATAAAAATTTAATAAAAAGAAGAAGCCATTTCTGGGTGACCGACGGGTGGCGAGGGGGCTCTGGGAAGTCATGGGTGGTCTTCCAGAACTTAGTCTGGGGTTAGGGTTAGAACCATCTCCCCCCCCCCCTTAAGATTGGCTTGTCCAAAGCCCTTTTCTGTAGGAAAGAAAGTTGCTCTGCGTGACCCTATTGCCCTGGCCGGGGCTTGGCGCTGCTCGGGGGGGGGGGGGGGGGGGGGGGGGGGGGGGGGGGGGGGGATTGCAAGAGAGAAATGGGGCAGGAGAGCTTGGGGTGATCCCCAGCTGGTGAATGGGCCCTGGGTCCCAAAGCGCCAGGCTCTTGTGGGACTATAATGGGAGCCTGGGGCATTAGGCGGTCAGTGTGGGTGGGGGGTGGCGATCAGGCTCATGGTGGACCTGGGTGGCTGCTTGACTTCCAAGGATGCCCTTTTGTGGTGAGGGGCCTCCCACAGTCCTGGGATGTGGGGCATTCAGGCTTCCTTCTCTGGCTTCCCCTGGAGCCCAGCCTCGGATTCCCCCACCCCCACCCCTTTGGAACGGAGGGTCCCGTGCCCGGCAATTCAAGACAATGCCACGAATCGCAGCGGAGCAGAGGGCAGCGCCTCGGGCTGCAGCCGGGTTGGGATTTCCGTTTGCTCCCGGAGGCTCCCCTGCCTTCCAGCTGAGAGCCGCAGCGGATTTAAGGGGCTTCGGTTCCAGCTAGCCTGTCTAAGACCCTCCAGAAGATGCGCTTCAAGCAAGGGCAAAGCACACCCGCCCACCCAACCTAACCAGGTTTATTGCTTCCATGTTTAAGCAGCTTTCAGGGATCTTCCGTAGCAACAGACAGAAACTATTGCTGTAAATAACAGCAAATAACATTTCAGAGCAAAATGTTCCCCGGCTGACAAATATGGAAAAACCAGGCTGAAACCTGGAGACGGCCCTCCTTGGAGGCTGCGTTGTTTACCGCGTCGATGTTTTTGCCGCTTGGAATTTGTCCAGAGCCTCCAGTCTCCGAGCAGGGCTGGTTGTGGGGGCCATGGGGGGGGGGGAGGTCAGAGGGCAAGCAGGGACATCAGTTTGCAAGCTCCGTAGGAAAGGTTAAGGGCCGCGAGCGCAGAGCTGTAATTGAGTCCTTCCATTGGAGGCATCCGGATCAGCAGGGAGGCCGCTCGTCTCCGGAGGAAAATGCCCAGACAAATTCCAAGCAGCAGGACGGACGGACGGGCGGGCGGGCGGGCGGGGGGGGGGGTCTCCCCTGCGTGGGGGCTGAATGGTACCTGCCGCCGCCCTGCAGCCCCGGAGTCCCTCCTGCCAGGAAAGAGGCCCGTCTCGGCTGCAGCAGATCCCGGGGCTGGCTGCACAGGCAGAGAGCCTCCCGCCTCCCCCTGAATGGCGAGTGCCCCCAGCATGGACTCCGTGGCCTGTGCGCGAGAGCCGGGACTCCCCTCTTTCAGACAGGGCAGGAGACCCCCTGCAGCCGCCCCCCCCCCAGAGCTTGCTGGCTCTTCTGGGAGGCTGGCTTGGAGCGCCTGCCTGCCTGCCTCAGCGACATCTGGCTTAGCCTGAGGCGCAGACCTGGCCGCCGACGGACACGATTCCAGCTTTCATCTTGGTGTTGCGTGTGGACTCCGTCCAGGAGGCCCCCTTGGAGCTGTCCAGGGTCCTGCTCTCCCCCCCCCCGGTCTTCTCCTGGGGCTCTGCCTCTGCTTGGCCTCCCTGCCCTCCCGTAGGGCAAGGAGGCGCCCAGTATTGGCCCAGAGCCTCCGGGCCTTGGAGAAGGGGCTGCAGAGGCAACGCCCACCAGGAGATGGCCAAGACCCCGGGAGGCGGGTTTTCTCGGACTCTCTCCCTAAATGGGGGGAGGGGGCTGGATGACACGTGGCCCCGACTAAAAGCCCCCCCCCCTCCCGGCCGTGGGGAGGCCCTTCCTCCAGGCAACACCAAGCCAGGTTGTCTTTCCCGCTGGAATACAGTCTGGGAGGGAGTTTTGGACAAGGATGCCTGGACCTTTAAGGAGAAGGTTGTACTGGAAAGAGCCTCCAAAACAACAAAAGGGGAATGAATGC